TTCCCTAGGACCTTTCTCAAGCAGCGATTCGTCTTTATAATAAATATGAACGAAGACCAGTAAATAGCGATATTCGAAAAATTATTTTTCCGAACAACATTTCAAAAGTCAAAATTCAACGTTAACGTGAATCACGTGCATTCCCAAATTCCGTAAATAAATTCAATAAAAAATAAAAAATGTTCGGTTTAAAAAATTCCTATGCATGATGTTTACACCCTATTTATGAAACGTATTATTAATGCGTATCTTCTTTCTGTAGTAGGGCCTGCCATGCAAGGGATAGGGTAATTTCATCCCTCGAGTTAATAGGTTCAGAAGTGTTGTATGCCTTGCAGATCTCCATTTGTTCCAACCATTTGAGGTGGTCAGTAAATGTAGTGGTAATGAGGAGTCTGGCGTTATCAAAGTCTACCGAAATCTCAGGGTCCAAAGCATACATGGATAACGAAGTAGTACCCCTGTTGTGGATGATGTCACTTCTGTGTTCCGCCCATCGGACACCAATCGAATGCTTAGTAGCACCAATGTAGATCAGTTGTCTCTTAAATCTGTGGTCCATGAGGGGAACAGCATATACCCCTGGCAGCCTATCCTCCTTAGGTTTATCTTTTTCATTGCGTGAAAGCTTAAACATAGACGGACATCTTCTGAACGACAGTCGTAATCCTTGTTTTTTAGCGATTTTTTGGTATAAGGATATGAGGAAGGGGTTGTATGTGACTGTTGTGATGGGTTGGTCTTGTTCTATCTTATTCCCATTCTGCGGCGGTGCTAGGCCGATGCTGTATTGTTGAGCTAATTTATGAACAATGTTATAATCAAATCAGAGGCGGCCCTAGCAAGATTTTCAGTTGATGCGAGATCTTATTGTGGCGTCACCCCGCAGAGAGACTAAACTGTACATACAGATACACTTTTCACATTGGACAGAGAAAGCCATTGACCTTTTTTTTTTTAGGTGTCAGAATTTCTCAACCTTTCTATAACTTCAAATTGTGAGGATATAAGTAATTACCGCAGATCAATTCCAGCAATTATTTGAAGTTAAGCCCAATATTCAGAGATTAATTGCGGGAACCGAAAACGTTTGCAGTTCATTTTACAATTATTTAATACCGGTTATTGGTTTTGTTAAGTGGTTATTTTTATATTTTTATATTAAACTGGTATTTGAAGATTCTTTATCTTGTTTGTTTTTTTAATATGCCCTCTAGAGAGGATGTATAACCTCACTTAAACCAGTATGCTGACATTCTCCTGGAATAAACTGGCATGACAGTTTTTATCATATGAAAATATCTGATTTTATGGTCTCCCTGGATAGACCAACATGCTGGACAATCCATAAAAATATGATAAAATTCAGTGGTATTGTTTGTATATTAATGTATAATTACCAACAAGGTAAATAAAATGCATTTATTTTCTGCACCACATTTATTTTCTTTTATTTTCTTATGTTTATGTTAGTACAATACTGTATGCTGTCAAAACATGTTTCCTTTAGAACCACTCCAAGAAGACTATTTTTCAATTTTCATCTAAGAGACATTTCACTGTATTAATTTACTCACCTTTTTTTCTTAACAAGTTTTCTAAAAACCTTTCCTTGTTCTGAATATATTCAATCATTTCTTTTAAAATTATTATCTGAGAAAAAATAATTATATAATAAAAATTGCATAAACAAATTATTCTAAAAAAATGGTGATTAATAATAGATATAAATTATTTAAGAAAAATTATAATAATTTATCAAAAATAACAGTTCTTTTACGTAAACAATCTAGAATCTAATTAATTGTTTTTCTAATTTGTTATTGGTAGTTTTTCTGATTGGTATAGCAGCATTATAATAATATAAACTGAAGATTAAAATGAAAGAAATACAGCTGTATAATATTGTGGTTTGATTATCATTGTGTGTTCCTCTTATTGTATTTGATATATCCCTTTTTCTCTCATATATGTTTGAATCATAGATGATCCTTCTAAACAGGTAAATTTAAAGTGTGAAAATGAGTAAAGATGTAAAAGAAGAGCTGTTCAAAAAGGGACCCAAGCAAAAAAGCATTGGATCTAAAGGTCTCTGTTGTTCATGCTGGTTTTTTAGATAGAAAATTGTAATAGTATTTGTTGATGAAAACACTGGAAAAAACACTTAATATGAAAAGATTACTTCCTAAAAATAGTTTTCAAAATTAATCAGTCAGAATAATCAGAATGCTTAGTTTCTGGATTCAAACATTTTTCGCAAATCGTCTTTGCATGTAGTTTTAGACATAAATGAACACATTTTTGGAACAGTAAGCAGACATTGAATTCATTTTTGTTGACAAAAGCAAGCTGTTAAGCAAGCTGTTATACAAAAGCAAGCTGTTATAGTTCATCAATGTTTTATGGCTTTATGAAACCAAAACTTTTTTTACTCATTTTATTTACCACAATCCAGCACAAAAATACAAAATCACTTGTATAAGGAAGGTGGGACATCAATATCTCATGAAGAACACATTATAACTGAAAGATTACATGTTGCAAAAAACTTATCAATTTAGTCATGCTGCATCTGACAAACCCAGATGGCAGTAAAATATCACCAACAAAGAGCAATAAACTTGAAAATACCCACTTACAGGTTTAGGAGGCACTTCAGAATACATTAATTAAGAACTACTACAAAGCCCATCATCCAACTGTTTATTTCTGAGAAATTCATGTGAAATTAAACCATGCATTTGTCAGATGCATGCACAACTAACAGAGGATTAATTAATTAATTTAACATTTCTGATCCCATGTTACAAAGTCCTTCAAATCAATCTAGACATTAGCATGACATCAAGATATTAATCTTGCAACTGCACATTTAACAATACAGAAGAAACAAACTTTTCTCGTACGAAAATGACCAAAATGCAAGAATTAAAACTATCAGATTACTAAAAAAGTATCAATACATTACTGTACCTAGTTTCGATAATTCATCATTGAAAACGCTCCATGGAACACTTATAAACATACAGTATATAGAATCATAGCTATGTTAAAAATTATTTGTGATAATGACACAAATTACAGTGGGTGATTGGTTAACGAACAGATCGGATAACGAACACTTTCGCGATGGATTTTTTTGTTCGGACAACGAACACATGATCGGATAACGAACACCCCACAGAACAAACACAAGAAGAAGCGACGTAAAATAATGAATACCGATTGGTCTTCCCTTGTCTTCGGGCAACAATTTGAAACTTTTCGGAGGTATGGGAGATGTCGACATCGACGCTCAAGCCGGTATATATCGATCGGATAGTATTCCTTCGAACTTTGAAACTCTCTCTTGTAATTCCAGCCTTTTATTTTTTTGACAAAACAATTCTTTTATGTATTTGCGAGACTGTCGGGTAGGCACTCGTTAAGTTTTGTGTCTGTTTTTTTTTTTTCAAAAGGTGAGAGTATAATAGCAAAGGTAGAGAGTGGGTAGAAGATGCCTAATGTTGCTGGGCAGTATGGCGTGAACAGGTCTACAGTAGGCCGCAGTTCAATCTTATCTAAGAAAAATACTGTATAATCAAAAGACTGAAGCAGCTAAAGGAGTAACAAAAATCACATCTGAGAAATAAAGAACATCGAACAGTTCATAATGGAACCTGAAACGGATCTGACGACAGAAGAACGCCAAGAACTCTTGAATGAAGAACATCAAGAAACTCGGCGAGATGTTTTCTTCTGAAAAAGAGGATTAATACTGATATCTGTTATTAAAGATCCTTTGAAGAAGTGGGATGATGTCAGAACGACGGTCTTAGAATGGCATCCAAACCAGGTTGAGGCTTGGGGATTTCTACAATTGCAATGCCATTAATTACTTACGAAAAATCCTAAAGAAGAGAGAAGAGCAATCGACATTAGACAGATTCTTTAACCCTTTCAAACGGAAAAAACATGACTAATAAAAATGCAAGACTGTGTACTGTACGTATGTATTTTTATTACTACATATAAATAAACGTAGTAAGAAAATAAATATTTTTTTATTTTGGGGTCTCCAGAACGAATTAATTAAATTTCCATTAAAACCTATGGTAAATCGATAATCGGTTAACGAACAATTCGGATAGCGAACAAAGTCTTGGAACGGATTATGTTCGTTAACCGATCACCCACTGTATTATTCTTTGGAATATTAAAGATATATAGACACTTTCCAAACATCTTGTAATATACCACTGTTTTTTTATTACAAACATGGCTTTGAAAAATCTTAATATTACAATGGATGTCTGACAGATACTGGTTAATTTCACAAGTAAACTAACTCAATAACCTAAAACCTGCAATAAGAATGCTCACTTTAAAGCAACAAATGTTTTCTTCCATCTTGAATGAACATCACTTTAAATCTTCATATTTCCATGAGTTTTTAACTGGAACCATCTCCACCCACCAATCAGTGACACATTTCAATCTGCTTATTCCAAAATGTGCAGTTCTATTTTTGAACATTAGCCTGAGGATGTACTGTATATTCTCAGGCTAATGACTGAAGAAAACACGTTTACTGTTTTACTTCTAGTTTTAGGTTATTAAATTAGTTGTCTTGTGTAATCTTAATATTGATATTATTATTTTTGTATTATTAACATTATACAGTATTTTAATAAATTCATAACAGTCAATCAATCTAAATTTTTGTTTAAATAAATAAAACTTTAAAAAATAATAATACAGTAGAGTCCTACAAAGTCAACTTAATATAGACTGAGGTAACAAGTTACCGACAATAACAAGTTTTATAGCATAACTATGATGCTAGTTTAAATAGCAGAATTTTTGTAAATGTGCAATTTCATATACATATTAACTGTGTATCAATAGTGACTATTTCTATTTGTAGTTAAATTTTAAAAAATATTGGCTACTCACTGGCTACTTTCAAGATGCCTCTACAAAATACCACATTTGCATTGTGGTATTTTGTAGAGGCATCTTGGAAAAGGGTTACATTGTATGTTAACATGTGAAATTGATGCTGTTATCAAGTATCATCAGTGAAGAACGTTAACTTATTTGATCCTAGTGTTAAGTTATAGAGGTAAAAATTAGATTATATGTATTTTTGTTGTTTTTGAATGACATGATAAGTTTTATGGAATGTTAAGTTATCGAGAGTTGAGTTTCTAAGACTCTACTGTAATTTAATCATCATTAAATAAAAATGAAATTTCAATATTGAGTATCTTTAAACTAAAAGTATTATAATCCAATATAAAATTTTAAGTACTTTTGTTGCCCTTTTTCCTTCCAAAACATTTTCATTTTGTAAAATCTCTTTCAAATCTAAGTAACATCTAGCCAAACTTGCTCTCCATTTAGCATCTGAGATTCTATGTCGAAGTTTGCTTTTGTCTACTTCCATATTTTTCCAATGATTGTTGTTACAATTTTCCTGTGAGTAAACAATTATTTCTATTAAAATAAATCTATTACAGTCTATTATAAAAACTAAGTTACATCATTATAGTACAACATTTTATAACTTAAGATTACTCAATTCAATGCAGTACACGCTGCAGACCATAAAATAAAGTTTTAATGTTCATAATGTATATTCATAATGTATGTGAAATTTGACCTTTATTATAAATGCAAACTAGTACAACTATAAGAAAATATAACTTTATAATTAGACTAAATCAGATAATCCTAACCTTTTTTATTTTGTTCAAGAAACCTAACTTTAATAATCTCTGGATTTCTGGTACAACCTTTTGTCAGAATTGGAATGGAATATGATGAATACATTGTGCAATGAACATAACAGATTGGTCTATGTGAAGATGCAATTGAAAATCTTTTTATTTTCCTAATCCTTTAAAACACTCCAGAAATTCTTTAAAAAATTTTGTAGCATATCCAAAAACAGTTACCATATATCTCAGCAGATAAGACAACCTTCAGATAAGACGAGGTATAAATTTTTGTTGAAGTTTTATAGTTTTAGCATATATCTGTCCTATAAGATAACCCTTAAACTATCAACGGTCTATAAATTTAGTTTAGATCAGCGATAATCATCTGAATAATAATATTGTATGGTGTATATGGAATTATGTTCTATTTGTAATTTTTCGAATGAACAAATTTTGTTTTCTTGCATCTGGCAGCACTGCCTTGCGAATGTTGCAAAAATTCACACTAATTTGGCATTTGGGTAATGACCTTCACTATTCACAAGCATGTCTTATGGGCTATTCTATTTTGTGGACATACCTTACTCTCTACTAGTAAATAATTACAGTTTGTCCATTTTTTTAATAATGGTTTTAATTTATATAAATTTCAATCCATTTTTTTGTATTTGTCCTATAAGACAACCCCAGATTTCAAGGAATTTTTTTTATGTCTTATCTGCCGAGATATACGGTACTTAAAATTTAATAATTCCTAGTCTCTCCATTTAGTAGATTTCAAGTTACTCCCTCTGCTATATAGAAATTAGCCTTGATTGATATATGTTTATATCTAACAGTGGTAGATAGTATTTCATAGATCCAAATCTAAACAGTTTTCTGTTCGTTGGATGTAAATTAACTTTAGAACTAATACACTTATAGTCTTCCTAATGTAATGTATTAACAGATACTCCAGTATCTATCAATGCTTCTATATTGGTATCTGAGAGTGAAACATTTATTGGTAGGCGGCCTTTGTTCACATAAAGTAAAGATATCTATGACATTTGTTCACATTTTTAGATTGGAGCAATGGCAAACAGAAACTATCAAAAAGGGGGAGCACAAGCTAAAAAACAAGGGCATCATACATTATGCAAGGAGCTTCAAACCCTATGATTCAATGTCAGATCAGTGCTCCCACAACGTGTTGCTGGTTGAATTCAGGGTTAACTTGGCCTTGAACACAATAAATGTATTAATAGTTTTGATTAACATACAAAGAAGTTGTATGGGACAATGGACAAATATCTTCCATTAGTGTCTTTTATATTTGCAGAATAGGCTTGTTAGAAGCCATAAATTTTTTATTTGTTGATAATGAAATTTCAGGACCTCTTTGGGATTAGGAAAAGGGCAACCGAGACAAAAAAGAGGCACATGCCACAATGTATGGGCACCCCTGGATTGGAGCATTGTTTAGAATAACAAACTGAGGAGAAATGCCCCTTTTAATAAAAAAAATGGCATTCTTAATTTTTAGCAATGATACATTGATTATCCATGTGTGTCTTACTCCACACCAATTACAGTAGTCACCACTGAACTTAGACCAGGCCTCAGTTAACATGCCATCTAATAGATAGGTTTAAAAAAAGTAGCTTTGATTCATTGCATGAATGTTTTACATAATTTAAAACAAATATACAGTAATTAATCTTTATTTTTGCTAAATATAAACTTGATATCTTGCAAGTTTAATAAAATGCAGCCAGTCAAACTAGAGCCACAGGCATCAAAAAACAGACTGCTGCATCACCCCTGTCAATGAACATAGACCACTGCATGTTTAATATTTTGTTGCACCATCTTTTGCAGTCAAAACACCTTTCATATGTTTCGGCATGCTGTTGACTAGGTATTCATATTTATCTGCCATTATGGAATTCCAGATAGTTAAAGGACTAAAAGCTTCCATCCCAACTGTCCGAGAGTATTTTTTGCAGATGTCTCTTTACAGATTGTTCCGTACATTCTCAATTGGTGAAAGATCTGAACTGTTGGATGGCCAAGGAAGGACTTCTAAGTTCTTTTCTGTGAACCACTGTTTTGTTTTTCTACTTATATGACATGTGGCTCTATCCTGCTGGAAAGCTAATGCATGACTGACCGGAGACAAAGGAACAAGACAAAGATCAGAGGTGCAGGGTCGCCTAACTAGATCAAGAGATAGTTCGGTGTGTGTTATCCCCTGGAGGTTTACATACATAACAAAGGGGCAAGTGCCCCATTTTTCTATGGACACCCAAGATAGCTTGGTTCAAACTAATACCTTAGTTTTGTTGATTATGAATTTTATTATTATTTATAACAATTGTATTGAGGGATGATACTTCGTTTCTGTTCAGTTTGCTTTGTTGATTTGGTTTCAAATATTTCCAATTGACTCTTGCTAGCTAATCAAAAATCTTACTGGAACTAAATCAAATAATATAAGTAAACAACGTTTAATTCTCTAATAATGTTTTCGACCGATTTTAGCGGCCTTCATCAGTTACTCATACCTACATCAGTTACGTTATTAGAGAATTAAAGTAACTGATAAAGGCCGCTAAAATCGGTCAAAAACATTATTACAGAATTAAATGTTTTTGCTGGACTGTTAAAAAGGCGTTGTTTACTTATACTCTTGCTAGCATCAAAACTTCTCCTTATATGAAATGTTGTATCTAAAGTTAATCCTAATTCTTGAAGAAGTCACAAAGGACTAGTCTTTTACATTTGCTGACAATCTGTACTGTAATCATAATCATATCATTTTGTAGATTGCTGAAATTACAATTCTTGCTGGCCATCACAGTTAGGTTGCAAAAATGACAATATTTTCTTCTGGTATTTGAGACAACTGCTAGAACTGATATCATTTGCAAACCACATTAACTGATGGTGAGAATTGTACATCTAAACTGCAATTGTCTTGTTATAAATTGTCCAGGTTAGCTAGTCCTTCCACTATGTCAAGAAATACTTCTCCATCTGAATACAAAAAAATTGCATGTTTACAACTAGATATAGTTATACACATTTAAGGAATATAGTGAATAGTCAGATACTGTTCCAGACTCTCTTTCACCAACCCAAGCATGATGCCATTGATAATCTTGACAGATCAAAGACTGGTAAACTTCAAAGACTATCCATTTTCAAGATGCATTAATATATTTGATTTTTACCTCATTGCCAATTTTATAATTGAAAGCAGATTCAGACGATAGATACACAAGTCTGAAACCAAAAACACTTTATTCTTCATAGCCTCAAATGGTGACTAGATAATAAATAATGTAATAATTATTTATTATGACATCATCACAATGCTAGACTACAATTTTTAATCTTATTTTTAATAGATTTTTAACTTAAAATATGCTCTCCATTGCAAATTAATAGTGGCTTGCCCCTGTACATCATACTTTTCCATTAGCAATAGAGTCATGTAGATCATCTATCTAACTCGTTTCAGGGAAAAATTTTTGAATTGTTTCCATATATCTAACTTTGTTCTCAAGATTAAGGAAAGACAGACGGAAGGACAGATGACAGTGGGTAATTATAGGTCTTGTGGAATCTGCGAATATCTGAGGGATGATATCCGCAGGGGGTGAATGAAAAATGATTGCCACAAAAAGGAGGAGACCAGTACGATATATTATTTAACAAACTTTATGCACCAAATATATATTTATAATTGAATCACAATACGATAGGTCGGCTTAAGCCAGGCACGTGGCAGCTTACACAAAGCACAAAGGGTCTACACAAGACAATCGAAGGACACACCTTCACTGTTGCACGCCNAGCCAAATTATTTTTAAAGTGGCTCAAAAAGTAGTAAGTCACCCAAATGTAATAGAGTCCTACAAATATCTCAATCTGCTACTGATAGCCCAAACTTGCAGTCACGAAACCCAGCTGTATTTTATGAGATAAGAGAGTAAAGGGTAGTTTATGGGTTAGGTGATACCTGAAAATGTGTTACTTTACAGGCAAAGCCATATTGACCAGATTAGAGTTGTTCTTTGTCTATTGTTCTCTTATGATATAGAGTTACTTCAATCTTGTGGAATCTGCGAATATCTGAGGTATGATATCCGCAGAGGTGAATGAAAAATGATTGCCACAAAGAGGAGGAGACCAGTACTATATATTACTTAATAAACTTTATGCACCAAATATATATTTATAATTGAATCACGATACGATAGGTTGGCTTAAGCCTGGCACGTGACAGCTTACACAAAGCACAAAGGGTCTACACAAGACAATCGAAGGACACACCTTCACTGTTGCACGCCAGGAACCAGAATGAATGAACCGGTTCCCCACCATATATAACTCCTCCACCACTCTCACCGTGCTGCCACACAAAAACCGCCCAAAACACAAATAAAACCGCGCGTACAGCAATCGCGATGATCATTTACATTAATAAAATATATACATATATACACAAAGATGATTATAGGTAAAAGAAAACAATTTTTTTTTTTTTTACAGCAGAGACCGACAATATACACGCGGATGACACAGTCTACAATTGCAGCCCAACAAGCTGTTTTCCCAAATGTTAGAGAAATGTTAATTGTTAACACTTCTATTCAAACTCAGCAGTATGCTATTGTAATCACTTAAAATTACCATTGTCATTATATTCATACTAATAAAGTTTTGTTTGATTCTAACACTTCTTTGCTGGTGCATAACTTTTTGTCAATGAGTGTATTAGAGTTGACAATCTGCCTAGTTTGACCAGGAGTTCACTGGAATGGAACATCAATATTTAATTTCCTCATTTCCTAAAAAAAACTGATTTTCTTTTGCATTATATGGAAAAATATATATATATATATATAATATAGTATTCTGCTACATTGTAGTTTTTATTTCTTTCCAACTAAATTATATTAGAAAATTAGTATGATTTTCAATAGTGTATTAATAATTATAAACAGTTCATATTTTTAAATTAGTACAATGGAGTGAATTTTTAAGCTTAAATCAACAATTAAAAGAATTTAAATGAAGATAGACATCAACGATTTTTGTTCTTTGAAAAATTTACATGATCAAGTGAAACACTGTGAAAGAATTGACATTTGCTGGATTTTTTTTAAATACAGAAAAAAAAATGAATTGGCCAAGAACTAAAAAAATATGTGTTTTGTATTATTTCTTCCAGCATCTAATGCAATTTATGAATGAATATCTAGTTTTCCAGGGCAAATTTGGATGAATGACAAACAAATTAACTATTGAACTGGTAAATTTCTAATTGTAAAAAATTGGCAGATTCTTTACAATTTTGATATGAGCTATGGAAGATTTTACAAATTTATAAATGAAAATGAAAAACTTTTAAAAACAACATGAAGTTGGGAGAAATACAAATTTAAGTAAAAAATAACTTTCTTTCTGTTTACTTAATCATTATAAGAAATTTGTCATTTAGTGTGATAATTTTTTGTTCCTATGTTGTTTATTGCAATATATGTATCTGCATAATTCTGTTTATTTTTCAGTTGTTTAACATAATTGTTACTATTTCAATAGTGCCTACCTATGGCCGAGTGAATAAAACAACTGAACACTGATAATTGGTTATGGGTTCATACCTAGCCAACAGGCTGGTCCATGGAGTTTACCGGGTTTTCTTCATATGTCTAACACCTAAATAGGGGCCAGTTTTCCATAGAAAGTCCTATCAGGGAGCATTTTCTCCTTGGCAAATCATCTATGTGTTGCATTGCTTATATCAGGGGTCGCCAAACTTTTTTAACCGTCAACCTCCAACCACTTTCCAAAGCCTCACATTGACCCCCACCATAAAGTTTTATTACAAGTGTATGTGTTTGAGCAATAAAAAAAAAAAAAAATGTTGTGGTCTCTGTGTAAGGAAAAAAAAAAAACAAAACAAAAGGTTGTGACCCCTTAGCCACGTCAACCCCTCAATCGACCCCCTATCCGCATCGACCTCCCAACGATGTTGCATCGACCCCTGGGGGTCGATATCGACCACTTTGGTGACCCCTGGCTTATATCATTATTCTTTTCCAATATGTATATAAAAATTTTTTAGTATAATTTTTTCAGTCACTTGGTCTCCCACAATATTCTTAGGCAAAGTTGGCAACATAAGTTATGTGGTGAATTTGCTTTTAAAATTTTTTCCTAGAATCATCCAGAATTTTCTATTTGTGGAGTGGTTAACCCTGGAATCAGAAGTTGACAACTGTAGTGTCATATAGCACCAATGTTAACAAACTACCTATATTGATACATGTTGGATGTTCTCTTTTTGGAAGTTTAGAAAATGGTTACCCTAGGTATTCACTGATATATTACAAATCTTGAGGGCTCCAGATAAAATAAATTTTGGAAACTTATTCCATCATACATTTTAAACTTAAAAACTTAAACTTAAGGTCAAATAATAATGTTACTTAAAAGTCTGTAACAGGTGGAACATAGATAAATTAATTAAACACTACATATTTTGTATTTAATTCAAATACATATTATTTGCTGGAAGATTGTATGCATGGTATTTAGTGTTTAAAAATAATGGTATTATTTAACATTGAACATTGTAACAACATGTCATTGTATTGCAGGTGGGTAAGAACTTTCAGGTGTCCCTTCAAACTGGGAGCCTCATGCAAATGTCTTTCTTTGTCTGAATAATGCATCATTGGCATTGGTAAAATTCTGTATGATATTCAGGAGCACCCATACATTAGAGCACTTGGGGCCTATGCCCCCTTTACATGTGTGTTACCCTCTTCCTAATCTTCAAGGTTGCCCCAAATTCTATTATCAACAAACAATGGAAAATTCATAAATATAAGTTTTAGCCTATATTACAAATATAAAAGAAAACTAATGAATGATATTTGTCTATTGTCCCATGCATGCATACTTGCCAACCTTTAGAATGGGGAATAGCTAGGGTGTTGGTTGAAAAACACTGACAGCATAAAAAGCAAAAAATTTTTTTATTAATATTGATATTGCACATATTAAATATAATGCTTACATTAAATATAAGCATTGTGGAATATCAATTTAAAAAACAAAATTTAATTGAAAAATAAATTACACCGATATAAATCCAGCAAAATTTAATAAAATAAAAACATTTTCAATCGTTTTCCAACAAAATTTAATGTTATCTCTTCATATACTATCTTATAAAGCTATTGCCATAAACACTGTCAAGAGTTTGGCAATAGCTTTAGGCCTATACTCTTTAACATCACAATTTAAAAAAGGTCAAATATTTTTTTGAGGCATATCATAAATCTACGCCTAGATTTATGATGTGTTTCATCTCAATGTGTCATATTGTATGATGAGGGCCTCCTTTGTGCAATGTTTTGTTTTGTCAATAATTTATTTTGTTACGGTTCAATGTACCCATGACAGTTGCTATCATTCATTTATTGACTTTCATTGCAATTATTGAAGACAATAATTTTTCTGTGTTTGGTTAGCACAANTACACTTTTTTAGTTTTGTGCATACCACTTTTTATTTTAACACACATTATACTATCCTCAGGTGCATGTATATTGATCTGATAGCACTATTTGCTCATTCCTCCTCCCGTGTTTAAATATGTGTATATATATCTTATGTGTAATACCAGCTTAATGGTCACTATCTCAGGTAATTGTATTTTATCATATAAATCACTGTACGCGTATACTAATTTTTTAAATGAATTCTGTAAATTTTGATACCTGTAACCAATTTGATAATTATGTAATAATAATAGGACTGAAGAGGGGCATTAAGCCCGAAATGCATATCCGTCCAAGTCAATAAAGCAACCTTTTTCCTCTTAAAGTGTTCCTGTATGATACGTTCTCAACAGCAACATTGTGCTAACCAAACACATATAATAGAGAACAACAAGCAACCTTGATTCAATAATTTTTCTGTTTATTTATTTCCTATCTCTGTCTTTTTCTTACCAAACTGAATACCTTTTCTCTTTGCCACACAGTAATGCAGGGGAGGCCCTGCAATGCTGTATGGTAAAACCATCATCAGCCTTACTGTTTTGCAAAAATTACAAATCTTTGTAAAATAGTAAGGTTGATGATGGTTCTTTTCTTGAGACAGTTCATACCATACAGCCTGTATATTCTTAAGTGATGAATCAGATGTTTCTTCTTTTTGGGCAAAGAAACTGTACCACTGCTCAATTATTTGGTATAATTGTAAAAATAACTTGTTTCCTTCCACTGATGAGTCAACTATAATTAATTTAACCACAACATGATAACACTAAATTTTCTAGAATTGAAGATGCAATTTATTTTATCTGCCATTTAAAATTATCAAATTTGAGCTAAAATTCTTACACATATACCAACATACATATATAATATTATTAATCTTGGTTCTTTCTCAATTAAAGGAATCTGAGAATGTCATTCTGGTTCACTTCAGTCGTTCATAATAACATACATACAATGTCTTTGGCACGTTTACTGGTGTTAGACTCATTAAATGAAGTGTTTAAATGATATCATCAAATTCTTTAAAAACGCTAACAAAAGAGAGAAGCAGCCCGTCCACTGATGGTGCATACAAAATGCTGATGGTTGGCAACTATGCATATGTTGACAAAAACAACATTACTTATTTTCAAGTCCAAGTTAGCCTGATTGCAACCAGTGCCACCTTACAGGTGCACTGATCTGCCGTTGAATCGTAGTTTGTAGATTCTTGAATAATGTATGATGCCCTTTTTTATAGCTTCTGTCCCCCTTTTGTATAGTCTGAAGGCACCAAGGATGATATTCCATATATACTGTATATAGGTCCAAATATGTGGGGGCTGGCCATATGAAATTTTTCGGGTTTTCTTCACGTGTCTAACACCTAAATATGAACCAGTTTCCCCGTATAAAGCCCTCCCAGGAGGCATTTTCCTTTGGCAAATCGTCCATGTCTGTGTAAATTACATTTTGTGTGGAAGCTACAGCAATATTTTAAAATATATTTCATTTAAACAACATTATTATATGCCATTATAAATAATGCAAGGCTAATTAATATTGTTTTAATTTGTTAAAAATATAATTTGCTTTTTAAATGAAATAAATGGATACAAACCATTTTAACACTTTTAAATGCCGCCAGATGACCTGTTACATTTAGCGCGAAATGTAATCATCCAATTAAAATTTCCAATTTATTACGTCTTTAATTGTCTATCTGGTGATAATTAACCAAAAGAAAAATTATGAATATAATCTAATTAAGCTTTTATATTAATAAATTTTATTACTAATTTTTATTGAAATATATTGTAAAGTATAATAAATATAATACAATTATTANCCCGCCCCGGGCGACACTTTTTAGGGGCAGCAAAATTTCACAATAAGTAATAATAATATCTTGTAAAAACTTGAACCACTTTATTTCATATTTTCGTCGCACCTACGATTCGGACCGATTGATATGAACACGGAATAGTGTTACCATCCGGACAGTCCGGGTATCGACTCATCGTCCGGGTGGACTATTAATTAATTTCACCTGGAGATTTCGTGCGCAACCTGTCGACCTTTTTTTTTTTATTTTTTGCTTGTACGATTCATTTGTATTCATATACACCTCCAATATCCAATAGAGCTAAGTCATCTAGGTTACTTATGTTACTTCTACCCAAGTCTCCCTAGTCGCTAACTGTAAATGATTTAGAACCGGCATACACTGCACATTATTCTTCGCATTGCAAAATGACATACGCAATGACATGCGTCAGGAACTTCTGTTCGAACAAACCTCACCTTCCGTCCGGGTCAGCGATTTTAAGAAGGTGGCAACACTAGCACGGAATTTTTCATTACTTATTCTGTGACGAAACTGAATTTTAGTCTTTTAAATTGAGATACAGTACCTAAACAAGGGGACGGCAAAATTTTCCTTTGCCCCGGGTGGCTGACACCCACGCTACGCCACTGCGAATAATATACGCTAGAGAGAGTGAAATTCCGTTACATTGTTTTATAATTTAAATTAAAATACTGTTTAATGCATTTTTTAAATTTTTTTCCAAAAATAAAAACTATTATTTATTATATTTTTATTATTATAAGTAATGAAAATACAATACTCAAATCATAAGAAAACTTAAAACAGAAGCTTCAATTTAATTACTTTGAGGAATATATACGCATTTCAAGTTGTTAAGATATTAAATTGCGGATATTAACATTACAGGATGTATGAATGAACTACTTCAACTTCCGTTAAGAATGACAAAGTCGCTGTTAATTCAATATCAAGACTTTAAAACAATTATAATGTCTTATAGAGCATTAAATTAGTTTTAATTCGTGATTCTTCTACACTAAATTTCAAAATTTGGGCAAGTTTTGCACCCTCTCTAGTCATGTGATAAGTTTGTCATTCGGGTCGACCTCTCTGTCTTTTTTTATACTATTTCAAACTTTCATCAAATTACTGTTTTCATAATATCAGTTAAAGGTTTTTAATCATCTGCCATCTTTACACTATTTCGAACAAATCAAATTTCCAATTTTAGACTATTAGCTATTTTTACTCCCTCTTATCCAATGAGATTCCAGAACTTATTTCACGCTACTTCCGTCTTAATGTCAAAGATGGTGATGTCATTTCCATGGAGAGATTGAAAATTTTCAAAATTTGTCATTTTAAATAAGTAATATAATAAAGTGTACTTCTCTAATTACTTACTTTTTAATTTATTAACGAATACTTTTGTAAAAGTTACTTTTTCCATAGTGTAAAATGAAAATTGAAAACAAAAATAAAAAAAAATCAATATTGTTAAGCTTTATGTAGGAAAATATGAGAAGTTTGGTTCAAGTAGCAGAGTGGCGCAGTGGAAGCGTGCTGGGCCCATAACCCAGAGGTCCGTGGATCGAAACCACGCTCTGCTAAAAAATTTTTTTCCTTCCAATTCCGTTCTTAAAAAATAATTCAATGATATTTTTCGTTATAAAACTTAATATGTTCAAAACTTTTTTTTCTTCTAAAATTTTACTGTTCTACGAATTTAAAAAGTTATTTTTTCTTTTAACTTCATCCATTTTTATAAACTTAAATTGTAAATTAAAAAAGCATTTTGAACACACAAAACAATAGGCGCGTTGTCTGGTAAAGCGACTTTAATAGGCCTACAGCTGGGTAAACAAACCAATAGTCCGTTTCAATTGAAACGGTCATTGGTTTGGCTTTAATACAGCTGAATATTTAATTATCCAGCTGTATTAAAGCCGCTTTACCAAGAAACGCGCTCAATATAATAAATTTTGATTAAAAATAAACAACAGAAGTGTATTTGCTTAATTTGAAAATTAATTTTTATCAAATAAGAGATATTTAAAGTATACAATGTTATTTTTTCATACTAAATTTATTGACAAATTTATATCCCACGCGTAGAAAATTGTAGACAATCAAAATTCCCAGAATGTTTTCCAATTTCGAACGAAAATAACTGCAGAAAATACTTACATAGGCTAAATGTACGATAATATGCATGAATTTTAAAATAAAAATGTACTCCAAAATTAGAAAATATAAAACTAATTTTCATCTATAAATAAAAAATTTTATTAAAGGTAAAGTTACAGTCTATTCTGTATGACCATCTCTATATAGGCCTATATATATATATAAATTCATCGTAGTTATTATTACAAAATTTATTAATTAGCTATTCTTTTTAGCTAATTACTTTTTGATTTTGGATGCTATTATTTGTATTTTTTAAGGCCAATTGGTTCGTTTAAATTCAACCAATAATGTTTTACACTGACGGAAATAAATTTTGAGTAATTTTTAATCGATAAAACAGCAGTTCAACAAGTATCTGCGGCATTACGTCGAAGAATATTTTAATAAACGAATATAAATAAACGAATAATCAGTGGCGTAGCGTAGTGGGTGCGGCAAGGCGGCCCGCCCCGGGCGACACTTTTTAGGGGCAGCAAAATTTCACAATAAGTAATAATAATATCTTGTAAAAACTTGAACCACTTTATTTCATATTTTCGTCGCACCTACGATTCGGACCGATTGATATGAACACGGAATAGTGTTACCATCCGGACAGTCCGGGTATCGACTCATCGTCCGGGTGGACTATTAATTAATTTCACCTGGAGATTTCGTGCGCAACCTGTCGACCTTTTTTTTTTTATTTTTTGCTTGTACGATTCATTTGTATTCATATACACCTCCAATATCCAATAGAGCTAAGTCATCTAGGTTACTTATGTTACTTCTACCCAAGTCTCCCTAGTCGCTAACTGTAAATGATTTAGAACCGGCATACACTGCACATTATTCTTCGCATTGCAAAATGACATACGCAATGACATGCGTCAGGAACTTCTGTTCGAACAAACCTCACCTTCCGTCCGGGTCAGCGATTTTAAGAAGGTGGCAACACTAGCACGGAATTTTTCATTACTTATTCTGTGACGAAACTGAATTTTAGTCTTTTAAATTGAGATACAGTACCTAAACAAGGGGACGGCAAAATTTTCCTTTGCCCCGGGTGGCTGACACCCACGCTACGCCACTGCGAATAATATACGCTAGAGAGAGTGAAATTCCGTTACATTGTTTTATAATTTAAATTAAAATACTGTTTAATGCATTTTTTAAATTTTTTTCCAAAAATAAAAACTATTATTTATTTATATTATTATTTATTTANTGATGGTGAGAATTGTACATCTAAACTGCAATTGTCTTGTTATAAATTGTCCAGGTTAGCTAGTCCTTCCACTATGTCAAGAAATACTTCTCCATCTGAATACAAAAAAATTGCATGTTTACAACTAGATATAGTTATACACATTTAAGGAATATAGTGAATAGTCAGATACTGTTCCAGACTCTCTTTCACCAACCCAAGCATGATGCCATTGATAATCTTGACAGATCAAAGACTGGTAAACTTCAAAGACTATCCATTTTCAAGATGCATTAATATATTTGATTTTTACCTCATTGCCAATTTTATAATTGAAAGCAGATTCAGACGATAGATACACAAGTCTGAAACCAAAAACACTTTATTCTTCATAGCCTCAAATGGTGACTAGATAATAAATAATGTAATAATTATTTATTATATTTTTATTATTATAAGTAATGAAAATACAATACTCAAATCATAAGAAAACTTAAAACAGAAGCTTCAATTTAATTACTTTGAGGAATATATACGCATTTCAAGTTGTTAAGATATTAAATTGCGGATATTAACATTACAGGATGTATGAATGAACTACTTCAACTTCCGTTAAGAATGACAAAGTCGCTGTTAATTCAATATCAAGACTTTAAAACAATTATAATGTCTTATAGAGCATTAAATTAGTTTTAATTCGTGATTCTTCTACACTAAATTTCAAAATTTGGGCAAGTTTTGCACCCTCTCTAGTCATGTGATAAGTTTGTCATTCGGGTCGACCTCTCTGTCTTTTTTTATACTATTTCAAACTTTCATCAAATTACTGTTTTCATAATATCAGTTAAAGGTTTTTAATCATCTGCCATCTTTACACTATTTCGAACAAATCAAATTTCCAATTTTAGACTATTAGCTATTTTTACTCCCTCTTATCCAATGAGATTCCAGAACTTATTTCACGCTACTTCCGTCTTAATGTCAAAGATGGTGATGTCATTTCCATGGAGAGATTGAAAATTTTCAAAATTTGTCATTTTAAATAAGTAATATAATAAAGTGTACTTCTCTAATTACTTACTTTTTAATTTATTAACGAATACTTTTGTAAAAGTTACTTTTTCCATAGTGTAAAATGAAAATTGAAAACAAAAATTAAAAAAAATCAATATTGTTAAGCTTTATGTAGGAAAATATGAGAAGTTTGGTTCAAGTAGCAGAGTGGCGCAGTGGAAGCGTGCTGGGCCCATAACCCAGAGGTCCGTGGATCGAAACCACGCTCTGCTAAAAAATTTTTTTCCTTCCAATTCCGTTCTTAAAAAATAATTCAATGATATTTTTCGTTATAAAACTTAATATGTTCAAAACTTTTTTTTCTTCTAAAATTTTACTGTTCTACGAATTTAAAAAGTTATTTTTTCTTTTAACTTCATCCATTTTTATAAACTTAAATTGTAAATAACATATTATACATCTTTAATATAATGATTACCTATAATTAAATGATAATAAAACCTGTAATAAT